GATGCTCGCTGACGAGATTGGGGGGGCCCACGCGCTGCTGCGGCCGAGCGTCAGCCCCGGGCAGCTGCGTCGGCGAATCCTTTGCAAGGGCAAGACAGAGGCAGGCCGCCAGCGTTGCGGCTCCTTGACGAGGCGCTTGCGCGCGACGCCAACGTCAAAGGCAAGGAGACGCTTCCGGCCGTCAGACGCGACAATGCAGGCCTGAGGCGCTCCCTGAGAATCGTGCTGAAAGGCAGCGCCTACAAAGCGCGTGGTGGCCGTAGCGATGTCCCTGACAGCGGTCGTGACTTGAGCGACGGCGACGAGTCCCGGCCGAGTGGAGGCGATTCGCGCTTGGGCAGCAGCGACGAGCAGTCGAGCGAGGCGCGACTGAGCAAGACAGTACTGCACCAGATGCCACTGCAAAGGATTGAGGCCGCGCACGCCCTGACGTTTGACGCCTTTTGCTCCGAGGCGATTGAGAGTAGCGCTGCGGACCTTCTCACAGTCACCTCGGCCTCTGAGCTCAAGTTCACGCCTGCTTTCAGCCAAGAAAAGGAGGGAGCGGTGAACAAGCGTGGCAGTGGGTGCGATGTCATCATGAGCAGCCTGCGGCACAGATGTAGGGCGCGGACCCGCCGGCAAGGTGTTATGGTGACGCGCACCAACATGGAGAACCCGGAGCAGCAGCGAGTGAGCGATGAGGAGTGGGTTGAGGCTATGCTTGCACGGACGGCTCGCCGCCTCGTGCGCATCTACCCTCGAGGCACGCGCACGAAGAGCGACAACTTCGACCCGCTGCCCTACTGGAGTGCAGGGGCGCAGCTGTGCGCGCTCAACTTGCAGACCAACGATCTGCCGACGCAGCTGCACCATGCGCTCTTTGAGCTCAACGGCGGCTCCGGTTTTGTGCTCAAGCCGGCCGAGATGCTCGGAAACGCGCCCCGCTGGCCTCCTCCGCGCGTGCTGCTGCACGTGGCGACGCTGCGCCCGATCTCGCTCCTCAATTTGCCGGCGGTCGGCACGGATAGGCCGGATCTGATCGGGCCACGCGCCGAGTCGCACAGGCACTGCAGTGGCCTCTCCATCGCGCTAGGTCGGTCTGGAAGCGGGTCGCCGCACGTCACCACTGAAACTGGCAAGGGTGACGACGCCGCGGCCACTTCCAACAACCTCCCCTCTCTCAGCATCGAGCTGCACACCATCGGTGGCTTCGCGTGTGTGAGCCCAGCGCTGCCGCCTTCCGCGGCAGCTCGTGCGCGGAAAGGGTGGTGGCTGCAGCTCTACGCACTTCGAGGGCGAGTTGCACTGCGTCGCGGCGGAGCCGCAGCAAACAGTGCTGCGAGTGGCGGTGGTCGACGAGGCCGACGCGGAGGTGGCGTACGAGACGTGCGTGCTCGGCGTGCTGCGGGAGGGCTACCGCGTCCTTCACCTGCGCTCGATGCGAGGTACGCGCATCAAGAACTGCTTTCTGCTCTGCCACGTCTCCTTCACCACCCAGGTCAACGCTTGGGTCGGCGAGCAGCCTATGGTGACGACGCTTCGCCAGTTGCAAGGCGAGGTCGACTCAGCTCGCAGCCGCATCCGTGAGCTCGAGGCGCTGGCGGCGCGAGTTAATCAAGAACGCGAGCCGATAAGTTAAAAAGCCGAATTAGTGTTCTGTGTCTTCTATTGTTTTGTTGGTCGATACGTGGCACATCTCAGGTGACCATAGACGTTCTGTTTATAAATGTAGAGCCAATAATGCGACGCCGGTCACACACGAGAGCGCGCGACGTGCAGCTCTTGTGAGCAGGAACAGTCCACCTCGCGATCGCAATATCGGGCGCCCATGCCGCCGGCCCTCGCAGACCCCTTCCACGCTGTGCGGGACGGGGAAAGCGAGAGCGCCGGAACGAGGTTTCCAGCACGGAACGCCGTCATGTCGCGCGAAGCTTCGCCCCCGCCGCACCAGAGCTGCACTCGCCCGGCGCCGTAGACCGGCGCGTGGCTTGATACTATACACCGCCACTGCAGTGGCCTCGCTAGGGAGCGGCGCACGGCTGGACGTCGGCCGGGACGCGCCCCGCCTTGGCGAGTACCTCGGCAGCGCACGCCGCGGGCGCCGGCCCCTTGTACGCCTTGCAGACCTCCTCGGTCAGTTTAGAGCCGGACGACTTGGAGAGGTTGCCCCCGACAACCACCCAAGGCGTGTACTTGTGGTCGGAGGGGGTCAGCGCGAAGTACTTGCGCTGCAGGGCGGCGGCGCGCGGCGCGTCCTTGACGCACGCGTCGAGCTTGGTCGCGTCCATCTCTGCGGCGCTCGCGCACCTGGAGAGGCATTCGTTGGAGACGCGTGGGACTCGAAAAGGAGGTGCAGGCTGCGCAGGGCGCACTTGGCCGAGGTCGCGGCGATGTCCTCCGTCCCCTTGAGGAAGGCCGACTCGAGGCACGTAAAGTACGGGAAGTGCACTTTGAAGGCTGGGTACTCATCGATAGCGCACTGCTCGTACGAGTTAGCCGTGCACTCGTTGGGCCCGTGCTGGCAGGTCAGAACGCCGCCGTTGTACTTGGCGTTGCCGAACGGAACTACGGAGGCGTGGGGCAAGTGAGAAGGCGAGGTTGGCACGAGCAGTTGGCAAAGAACTTGCACCGAGCGTCACGTTCATGATTGCGCCGACCTTCTCCACGGCCTCGACGAGCGGGCCGGTGGAGAACTGGGCGCAGCCGGGTCAGAGGGCCTCGGTGCACGCGAGCACGGGCACGGGCTGTGCGGCGTTGCTGTACGCCGTGGCGAGCGTGGGAAGGAGGAGCGCCGTCGAGAGCGTTCGAGACTTTGTCATGGCGGCCGACTTCCAACCGGGCAGTTCGAGAAAACTGGAGTAGGAAAGGCGGCACGGTCTGTCCGATCATCTACAACTGTAAGTCATGTTTGCTCAGGCTTGTACCTACACGGTCGGTGTTGGCGCTTGGGTTCCCTTCGGCGTACATCGTGGGGTGACTGACGATTGGATTCGTCTTCGCCGGACTTCTTCCGTTTGGGAGAGAGAGATTTTTAGCAATAGAGCTCTACCAAACAACTCTAACACTCACACATCGTTTGGGGCCTGCCCTGTTCACGCGCGCGCAAGACGTGCAGACAGGGTTGCCAGGTGAGAGCGAATGGCGCGGTTCACGCCTCGCACAACAGAGACTCAGAGAGAGGAATGCGCTCTGCATGGTGGGACATAAAAGAGAGCGAGTACTTGGGCGAGTAGGCCGTACGGTCGACGCTGCCGCGCGCGACCTTGCGCGCGAGGCGGCGCAGCTTGAGAACGGCGGTGGGCGAGAAGCCGCCGCCGAACGTCTCGTGGAGCAGCAGGTTGAAGTTGTTGCGCTTGACAAAGATCGCGTCGTGGTAGAAACCGCGATGCGCCTTGACGTAGCCGTGGCCGTTCTTGTGGTCGAAGGGTTGGCCGGGCTGCCCGCGCGCCTTGCAGCCCATGTTTAGGCGGCGGGCCTTCTCCTCGGTGCTGCCGAAGGCGTAGGAGTGGCCAACGGAGGCGGGCGTGCCGCCGCTCGAGAGGCGTTGCCAACGCCCGCCGAGGAGGTCTTGAGGAGGGGCGTCCAGAGCTTGACCTCATTCACTTCATCGCACCCCCCCGGCCCTGCATGGGGTTCTGCGAGGTCGGTCTTGTACCCGTCATTGTACTGCCGGGTGAGCTCCGTCCGGTTTCTCCTTGTCACCGTGCACGTCACGACCGGCGTTGGCCGGGGCGTGCATCGCGTCCGCCCAGGCGGCGAGGACGCCGTCGTGGGGCCGCCGGTGGTGGGCCTTGTTGTAAAGGTAGTCGCCGAAGAAATCGACTGGCATGCCCCGCTCGAGCGCGACCCGAAGGGTGGGAAGCGCCGCGGAGAGCCAAGTTTTTGTGTCCGTTCGGCGCGACGGCGCGGCTCACTCTCCATGCCGTGAACAGGCGCCCTATCCATCTGATCTTCTTCTCTCGCTCCTCTGCGCATGCCTGGGTCTTATCATTGTTTCGTACCCATGTGCCCATCTCTGGATGGCGATCGAAGCTGCCCTCCCCACTACCTGCAGTTCACCCTCTCCGGCGAGCTCCGCACTTGGAGCACTTGGAGTGCAGTCATCAACCTCACATCCAGGACCGGGGAGCTAAGAAGCGCACCCAGCGGGCCAGATCGGTATCGGGTTACGGGCTAGAGAGCCCTAGCCCCCCCGCTCTCTTTCTTTCGGGGGGAGGGAGTCTCTGTCAGTGCGGGCAGCGTGCACAGGCAATACTGGGCGTTATTTTGTCGTACTCCTCTTTTCGGCGAGCGCTCCAATCTGCCTTTATTCCCCATTGCCTTTAAGGAGCTGCTGCCGCTCCTCTCATTTTTTGTTTGTTTGTCTCGTCTCAGGAAGAGAGAGAGATTTTTAGCAATACCAAACAACTCACAAAAACAAAACAAAAATCTCTCTCTCAAAAACAACTCTACGCTGACGAGAGAGAGAGAGAGAATGAGAGAGATCAGGAATGGCCCGTGTCTTTTGATTCAGGCGCCGCCCGTTCGACTCTTGCTATCACCCTCGCCGTGTGTTTGTCTCCTTTGTAACGCGCCTCTTCCTTGTTCCACTACAGCATGGGAGGACACGCGGGTGTTTTCTCGAATCCATGGAAGAAGGCGCCTCGGACAAGGGCGGACAGCTACGACCCCACGGTGCCGAGTCGCTACGGTGATGAGTCGCTACGACCCCACGGTGCCGAACCTGTCGCCCCGGAGCACCCTCGAGGCGCTCCGCGCGCGCAGGAAAAATCCGTCTTCTCCGGCGCTGGCGAGAGGCGGCAGCGACTCGATGTCGGATCTCATGGCGTACGGGCAGCAGCTGGAGAGCGCTGACGGGGCGCCGATGCTTCCAGAGTCGCGGCGCGCGCGCACGATCGCCCGCGCCGTCCCCGCGCCTCACCTCCATCCCACACACACACACACAATTATCCGCCACGCACCCACCCCCGACCCACACAGCGGCAACGACGACGACGGCGCCGCGTATGCCCCGGCTGCCGATGCATTCGACGCCGCCGCTGGCGAGTCGCCCTCGCTGCTGCAAGTGTGGCTCTGCATGCTCGCAGCTATGGAGCTCCCCATCATCGTCCACTCCATCGCGACGGCCGACCCGCTCGACTCCGATGCCGCCGAGCGGCTCTACACTCGCTGCGTCCTCGCGCTGCTCCGGCTGCTTGCTGCGGCGGCGGCTGACCGGCACGTTCTCGCCGCCGTCGCCACGGTGCACCTCCTCGAGCTCGCCCTCCTCGGCTACGAGGCGCGCCTCGCCCACTCGCCGCCCGTTTGCACAGCGCGCCAACGCCGCACACCCATCGCCCCGGCCATCTCCGGCACGTCGCCCCTATCGATCCTCCCATCGCCCGGCATCGCCCGCGCCCATGTCGCCTCTCTGCCCCGCCTACCCGCCCTCGCTCCCCTGTGCGGCCGCAGGCGTACGACTCGCTAGTCAACTTGACCCTCGCCGGCCTACCTCTCGCTCGCAGCGGCTTGCGGCTCACGATGGCCACGAACGCTGCCGTCCTCGTCGCCGCCGCCGGCGTCGCCCCTCCGCCGCGAGCAAAGTCAGATTGAGCGAGTGTCGCTTGGGGGCCTGCCTCGGTGGCGACAAGTGAAGAGCAGGTGCGACAGACCGCGCAGCGCTGATGTCTGGCATGCGTGTACATGGCCCGCATTGCCATGAGTTGTGAAGAGTTGTGAATCGCGAGCGTCCGGGGACCCTCCTCATCATCTCCTCACCTCTCTCAGTGTATCGTGTATGTGACTCTCTTCGAGCTTACTAGTTGCATGATACATGTCTCTGTACAACTTGGTATACTCCTCTGCGCATTTAGATTTTATTGTAGAAGCTAGTAGCTAGCTAGTTACAAGTTAGCTACGCGGAAAACACCTCTTGGTTCTGTATACGGGTTACGGCCATACGGGGTGTGGACCGTGAGTTGACCAATGACCAGGGGGTTGTGCGCCGGGCCCTCCTGCTCGGCTCCAGCCGGTAGACAAGACTTGTCATCAACAGAGTAGAAGGATCTGACCTCGGGGCCGATGTGACCAAGCGCTGGTAGCGTGGTTTTACCTCACACCCATGGTCTCACAGTGTGCCGGCAGTCGCCGAGCAGTGTCGCTCACACAAGCCGCAGCACAAGTGACTGAGGGCCAGTGAGGGCGAGCCCATGGCTCGTTGTGGGCCACGATGTCTCAAATATGAAGGGTTTTGACTCCTTCCAGCTCCTGACGCTATCCCTGGCAGCTCTAATGACCAGGGTCGGTAGTGCTGTGGTAGAGGGTGCTCATACTAGCGCAAGAGCTGCCACGCTCGCCCAGACCGTCCCCTTCTGGGGCCGGTTCCGCAGCCCAGGAGAGCCGACCGCGGGGCCGTGCCGCGGGTGCCTACTGCCGAGTGCCACAAACACTGCGCCGTCCCGCCATCACCTACAGGCTGTCTTGTGTGATGGTTGGGATGTCCAAAACGCCACCATCTTGGCTCTTGCGACCTCAAACCCGCGAGCTGTATGGGTGGTCCTGACGTCGACAGACGCCCGAGGACCTGAGGGAGGGTGTAGAGGATGTAGAGTGTAGAGCGCTGTAGAGCTGTAGAGATGTAGAGCGCTGGAGAGCGCTGGAGAGCGCTGGAGAGCGCTGGAGAGCGCTGGAGAGCTGTAGAGCTCTACATCCGGCGCGTGACGATGTGAGTCGCCTGTAGAGCGATGTAGAGCGCGATTTTGCTGTAGAGTTTGTTGTAGAGGCTCTACAGCCAAACCGCCGGGAAGGCAGTGACTCAAAGAGGTCGAGCCGCGCTAATGGGGTGTCTCCGAGCTTACTGGAGTTCTGATGGACAGCCCTGACTATCCCTGACACACAGAGAGTCACTCCGACGGCACACAACACCCTATGACTGCGTCATGACCAGCCTGCCATGTGTCGCCGGTGCCGCATTCGTCGCTGTGCTTCTTTAGCAGGCGGTGGACTGTCGGCTGCGAGGACGGTCGCATTTGCGCGAGGCGAGGCGAGCATTCAGACGCGTTGCATGCGCCATGTGACTCGCGCCAGCGCGTGCGGGAGCTCCTGGCTGAGCGTTGAGTCCAGGCGAGTTGCGCTGGCCACTATCGCTACGCCGAGCCGAGCTGACGCGCCGAGGCGTCCCTCGATTTCCTCAACTCACGGTCCACACCCTTTAGGAAAGCCATTACGCTGACGTGTATGTACGCAATATCCAATAATAAACCGCATCTCAAAAGCTGCACGACCTTCTCACCGTGACCTCTGGCATCCGCCTGGCGGGCCATGCTGTCGCCTGGATGATCCACGCCGCACCGGGCTCGAGGGCCCGGTCGGAGATCTGCGCCGAGAGCCGCCCCGAGGGTCTGGGTGAGAATGTCGCCCTCAGCGTGCGCCCCGCCGCCAGCTCCGCGGCGTAGCCGACTGTGCAGTCGAGAGAGAGTTCGCCGTCCCGCACTTTAGCGCGAGCTTCGAGGTCCATGCCCGCCGGACCGCACGCAGTGGCCAGCGCTCCGCCGAAGGCCACCTTTCGTCCGTCGGGGCCCACCTCCGCCTCTGCCTCGAGGCTGCTCCTCTCGCCGAGCTGCCGAGACAGCGCAGCGCCGAGCACCCTAGACTGAAAGGAGAAGGAGGCGAAGAGGTCGCCGAGCGGGCCGATGTGCCTTTCGAAGAGGGCGTCGACGAGGCTCAGCGAGCCCGACAGCAGCGGGCCGCACGCACGACCTTCTACAAACGGTGTGGCAGCGACGACTGAGCAGCCGTGTGCACGCGAGGTCAGCTTGTACGCAGTCTGCGCGATGTCGGCCCGGTGCACGACATCGTAGGTGACCTTGGCCCACTTGGGCGCCAAGAGGCTGCCGGTGAGACGCAGCGCCGTCTCTTTCGGCTGCAGCTTCAGCATCGCGGTCGCCTGATGACTGCAGACCTCGACCGAGCGCTCAAAGGTCGCCCTCATTGCGGTGAGCCTGACGCGGCCGTCCTGCGAACCTCGTGCGCGATTGAGATCTTGGCGCTGGCGCTGGCGAGCAGGAAGGAAGAGAGGAGTTGTCGCATGTGTATGGGCTGACTGTGCTGCATGATGCTTGCCCAGGTGTGAAACACCTCGTGGCCACGGCGCCGCAGGCGCTGTTGATGGGTCCAGGTGATAGCCCTGGATACAGGATAGGCAATGCATACGCCTAGTTGGACCTCAGATCGCCCGACCGCGTCCCGGTGCTCTGTGGTTGGTCGGATTTGTGACGCCGCCGCACCGCGCCGCGGCCGGGGGCCCTCCGGAGGCCAAGGATGGCCGTGGCGGACCGGGACGAGCTCTGGGAGGTGGAGTGTCAATGAGTATTTTAGAGACAGACCGTGTGCACAATATCTCTCACTCTGGCTAAGCCAGGGATGGTGCGGAGGCGATGCCGGGTTGGCCTGTACGAGGGTTTCCGGCAACCCAGAGGGAAACCAGAGGGTCCCCAGCACTTTGCGTTTCCGGAAGTTTCCAGGGAAACCAGAGGGTGTTTGGTGCTCCATTCTGTTTCTCTCGAGTTTCCCTCGGGAAACTCGCGAGTTTCCCTGAGTCTGAGAGCTGGTCTGGGGCAAAATCTGGGGCAAAATTGAGGAAATCGGCACGATACCCAGGTATTTTCCAGGTATACCGGGGTTTTCCAGCTATACCCGCAAAATACCCGGTGTTTTGCCGATTTTGGCCCCAAAACAGCCTCACTCAGACACGGCTCAGAGCCCACCCAAAATGACGAATTCCACGGAGTTTCCCCGGGGTTTCCCGAGGAAACTAGAGGGTGTTGTAGGGAAACAAGCAGGAAACACGGAAAGGAAACCAGGTAGGGTGCGAGAGGAAACCCTCGTACAGGCCAAATGCCGGGGCCGTACAGCAGCTTGATGGTGCTTCGCCGTCGTGCGTCCCGGAGCGGCCCCGGACGGAGGCCCAGGGGAGGAAAATGGAGGACAGCGCCGACACCGCTCTGATTCGACTTTTGACTTCAAACAAAGACAGTCGCACGCCACAGCGCGGCGCGTGCGACTGTCAGGAGCGGATCCGTCAGTTAGTCGTGTTCACGCCGGGATCGTGTCCTGACTAACCTGGACAACCATTCAGGGCGACGAGTAGGTAGCGGTAGGAAGACTAGCCCGAATGCTCCTCGACGCGATTTCTTTCGCCTCTGTTGGCTGCTCGGCCCCTACACATCGAACTGCCACTCCCACCGAAGCACCACCAAACCTCGCACCCTTAAGCGCATGCCTACGCTTCGGCACCAGCTGCTCCAGCAGCTCGGTCTGTCGGACGCCGAGTCGCGCGCCGCCGTCGCGGCGATCGCGGACTGGGTCTGCCGGCTGCACCCGGATAGCAGCCTGCTCTCGCTATCCAAGCTGCAGGCCGCTGGCCAGACCTGCGACGGAACGCTCGGGGCAGACAGCTCGAGCTCCTCGCCGCAGCGCCTCCTTCTCGGCTGGCTCGGCACCATCGGCGGGGACGACGGCGACGCCTTCGACCGCCTGCCGGCGGCTGGCATGCTCTCGCTATCCGACGGCGCGAGGTCGACCCTGCCGTGCAGCGTCGTCGCCGACGCCGTGCCCGCGCCCGAGCTCCGCGGTTGCCTCGTCCTCGCCACCGCGTGGCGGTACGTCCCTCCCTCCCATGGCGGCGCGACGAGACGGCGCAGCGCGGGAGGGCTGGGAGGCCGCTTCGAGCTGGACGGGCACCTTGTGCGCTGCCTCGGGCCGCGGCAGCCTCTGCCCCCGCGACTGCCTCTCCCCGCGTGGCCGAGCCGCGCCTTTGGAGACGGCGGCAGCGCGCGCCGAGGCGGCACCCGGCGGCGGCGGCGGCCCTTTTCGGCGGTGCTCGAGAAGGTTGCTCTGCAGCTTGCGCCGACGCGGTGCAGGGCGCCGGCGCAGTCCGGGTGCGGCGCAGGGAAGCGGAAGCAGCCGGGCGACGATGCGGCTGCGTCGAGTCGCGCTGGCCGCGGGGCGGGGCGTGCTGCGCCGGGCAGCGCCGCGCTGCTGCACGTGGTCGGGTGCGCAGTCTCCGTCTCAGAGTTGGTCTTGCTCGGCGCAGGTGCTGTCTCGGCTGCCTCTCGGCTGCCTCTCGGCTGCCTCTCGGCTGCCTCTCGGCTGCCTCTCGGCTGCCTCTCGGCTGCCTCTCGGCTGCCTCTCGGCTGCCTCTCGGCTGCCTCTCGGCTGCCTCTCGGCTGCCTCTCGGACCGGTTTCGTCACGGCTGTTCTCGGCTGTATCTCCGAGTTTGTCTCTGCCCGGCGCAGGGGGAGGCCCGCCTACGCCGCAGAGCGACGAGCGGGCGAGCGGGACGAGCGGCGCGCAGCAGCACACGCCAGCAGCAGCACACGCTAGCAGCACACGCTAGCAGCACCACGCCAGCAGCAGCACGCCAGCAGCAGCACGCGAGTGGGATCCCTCCACCCTCTCTCTCAGCCGCGGGGTCTCTCCCTAGGCTCGAGCCGCGCCTCCTCCGCCTCGTCCTCGACGCAGCTCGCCCGCGCCGGGGCCGAGGAG